AAGAAACTTGACTTTTCATGGTACATGATTAGACTAATTGAACAATTGTAGCTTGGTAAGCATTGCTGTTTTTATTGTGACATTGCTTCAAAGTGTAGTCACCGCACTCCAAAAAGATTTTTAAGTCCCGTGCTATCTCAAAGAGACAAGGAAACCCAAAGAATACGTTGTGAATTAGCGCAAAACCCTCTTCATATCATTCTCCTTATATCTCAGTTAAACTCTCTTGACTTGCTTTAGGTGGAAGCTCTGACTCTGTCCACATGTTAAGAAGACAGGGGGTGAGTCATCCTCTTGGTAAGAGCTCTTTACATTCTAGATAACTGTTCCTAGAAATCACTCCTCAGCTTTCTCAATACCTATCCAACCCCTTTAACTTCCCTACGTGCTAAATTATTCCCAACTAAAACCCCTAAGCGATCCTTCTCCAATTTCTTCATGTTTCTCCTTAACTGAGAATCGTAGGACTTGAGTTAACACTTTGGCAATTTGGCAGCTTTGGGAATGTGGCCTCACACTTCCCCATCCCAGAACCCTGCTCAGTTTAAAACCACCGTATGCGTGACTGGTTCATGGCACCTGGTTATGCCCAACATGAGGAGGTTTGCTGCTGACCACTTCTTCAGATCAAATGTCCACAAAGGCTCTTCTAAGTTCTCAGGAAACTCTCCTCTTTACTTAAGGTTTGAACACCAGAGGACAACTGAACACATTCTCTATTACATCAACAAGTCACTCTTAAAAACCATTCTAAAAAAGAGTATCAACCCTGATAGAATTCCTTTGAATTATGACTTCTGAAGGGAAACAGATAAATAATTGGTCCTATTACTTCCCAGTTGAACAGTTAGGTAAGTTTGAATAGCTGCATTATTAGATCTTTAAAATTTTTTACCTATACGTATGTAATATGGATATGTAACATAAGCCCAAAAAAAGAATGTTGCCCATTTTGAAAAGAGTGTCAGTATAGTGCCACATTATTTATTTTACTTTTCAGGTCGAAGTTGAAATAGGTACTCAAGTTGCCATCTTTACCAGCTCTTTTGATGGGAACAAGGTGCTCTGTCCACATATGAACAGTAGAGAAGAGCTGGGTGTGAGGAGACGCCATGAGTGTGATTTACCAAGATGTGCACAAAAGCACCAGGGTGGATAAAAGATTTGGTCATTATACCTCACTGGGGGTTTATTAAGACTCAGTTTCCTCCATACACCAGGCTTATCCCGGTTGAGGTTGCCCCAAATTCAGACTAGCTTCATGTAGTGTCAGTGGTATAGTTGGTGAGCAGAGCTACCTTCCAGACTAGCTTCATGTGCCTACCCTTTTTAAAGTATCTGAAAATTGTTATTAGTTTTTCTCTAGCATTACTATTACTTTCACTAGAAAGAGAAACAAATCTTAAATGCATTTTTTTAAAGTATGATTGTGAGAGGGCAACACTGAATGGTTACCATATGCCCATCTCTATGCTGTTATTTCATTATTGGAAAAAAAAAACAACAAGACCTTATGAGGTAGGAATTATTTCCATTTTCCAGTTGAATAAACAGGGTCACAGGCTGGCTAAGTTAATTTTCTTAAGGCCACACAGTAGGCAAAGTTCATCCAAACCCAGGCTAAGACCACAGCCTGTGCCGACTTCTCTGAGTTGCGTTAGACCAATTTCATTCTCCCCAACTTAAAGTATTTTCCAGAATTCCACAAGTTGTGAAAAATGATACTTAATCTAAAATGGCTTTTGGTTTACATTTGTTTACTCTTCTTGCATATATGTAATAGACGCTGGCAGTATCTAGCATATTTATTTATTCTTTAATTCTTCTATACTCATGCTATATAATTTGTTTTATAGTTTTGCCTAACTTTTCTCTTTGGAACACACAAATGATTTTTAATACAGTAAAAAATACTTCTGCCATTTCAGGATTATCTATCATTTGCTTTCATCGTGGATCAAACAGACTGGAATGCTCTTTAGTCACAGTTTACTCAAAGGTAAGAGGAGGGACCACATGTAATTTCTAGCCCTGTTTCTTCACCATTAAAGGATATGCCTGCATTTGGTTTTAAGTCGTCTACGAATAATCTTTTCCTACTCACTTTTTTGATCTTCATGTACTAAGCCCTCTGCTGCAAAAGGAGAGCCAGGCTTTTCAGAAACCCCCAGTTCCATGGTCCACACTGAACCATGAATTTAATCAATTCAATGGCTATCAGAGAAGGATTTTCACTTAACCTGATGGGAGTTTCAACTTAAACAATGCATTACTTGAAAAGAAAAGAGTTATGGTTGTCAGCTAAGACCATGTGGTACAGCCAGGATGTAAAACACAGTGACTGACCGAGACTTGTTAACAATTTATAAAATATTGTGGGTGCTACATGTTGCAAAGGCAGAGGCTGTGTTTCAGGCTCGCTGTAGCACCTAGCACTATGGAGAATACCAACATTTGAGGTCAATACGTCACTGTCATGGAAGGAGTTGCAGAGTGAACAGTGCCTAAAGTGGGCGACAATGCAGTACGATGCTCTCTTTTTCTCTTCCCATCATGGCGGGGATTCTGTCTCAAACTTTGCACAGGTGGAATGCCAGGTCTATTACTTCCGAAGACATTACAAGCTCTTTTTCTGTTAAGAAAGGCAAGACCTCCCCCCTCATAGTTATGCAACAGGAGCAAAAAGAGGTTCCAAAACAACTGCACATCACACTGGGAGCCAGTGAAGGAGAGAAGTGAGAGCAGGTGCTCGGCTGCCTGGTGAATGGCCCATTTAAAAATTCAACAATAGTCAGAGGGGCGCAGAGAACGCAAGAGTCACCACCGTGTTTGGGGAAACGGGCACTTCTCGATTCAGTGTAAACTCATTCCCTGAAAGAAGGCACGCTGGAAACCAGCTTTCCATAAACCTAGTGCATCCTTTACCCTCCACAATAGTATTTTAAAAGCATTCTCTTCGGGAAAAACTCATGGAAAGAACTACTCAAGCAACAAATATTAGTGCTTCTTCAATTTCGTATGTCCCTATGAGATATTAATTATTAGCTAGATGAAATAGGCAAAAGCAGCTTTAACATGGCAGAAGCAACTAATTATCTTTCCTAACTCCTTTGAAAAGCAAATGCAGATATAAAAGCTCAAGTGAAAAACATGTTAAGTGCATTGTGTCTAGACTCCGCCAAGAAAATAAGGAAATTTAAGTGCACAAAAAGAAAAGATTTTACTAAACCAGAATTTCAAGTCTATGTAAAAAAATTCACCTCATATTTTGATGTATCTTGTCATTAGCATTTTATATTTATACAATCAGCTTTAGGGTGAACGTTGCTAGATAATTCAAGATGTGCATGCATCCTACATGGTAAATAGCACCAACATAGTAAAACTATACAAATGAAAAATGCTTTTCAGGCATTCTTCCCTTAAAATTTCTGTAAACTGTATCGTAAGCAGACTATTAGAAAGCAGATCAAACACACAAGGATATTTTCACTACCCCAGCAGAAAACCTTAGAAAGGGTGAGGCAAGGCAGCAGCAAATGAAGTATAGGTGACTATTGGGCTCTATGAGACAAGGGATGCGGCAAAACATCGAGCAGGAAAATATGAGGAGAAAACATCCAGGCCTGTCTGTACAATAGATGCAGATTTTTTCAAATGTAAATTTTAAAGTGAATGCTGCTTTTATGTCACTGCAGAAAGGAAAGCATAACAAGGCTGCTCTGCTTCCCTTTAAGCACAGGCGCGTAAAGAGAGTAAGGGATGTGAAAAGCCAATTCTTTGCGCCGCTACTTAATCAATTGCACTCAGTTCTACTCCATGACACAGCCGCACTGCACAGAGCACTCAGCAGTTAATGGATACGATGTTGGAAAAGCACTTTGAGGTCTTCCAAAGCAAGGTAGGGGAAAACCCCAAAGGAGCATGGTTTTACTACTTGTTCCCAATAACTGAGCAGCATTATATCCGAAACTCCCATGCCCTGAAAAGAAATTAAGATATTCCTTTATTTTTCTAATTCTGATTCTTCCATATGAAATCACTTCTTTCAAAAGCTTCAAATCAGAGTCGAGTTATCCTGTGTCTTAGTCTGGGCTTGTCAGGATAACCGTTACATGCTGTAAGGAATAAATATGTGCTTCAAGTGTTACAGCCTACGTTTACAATCTGTCAAAATGTAGAGCTGAGGAGGAGTTATGTGTTTTTAACTGTATACATCCATCACTAGCTATCACTCTTCCCACAGACGGCAAAAAGTCAACAATGAAACATAAAAGCTAAAAATAAGTGACAGCAATTGCTCAGAAGAGCTGCACACGGGGCTCAGTGTTACATGTACACACATTCCTTCCCTTTTCTTATTACTGCCAATTTAAAGTAATTGAGATTAAGGGCTCAGATCTAAGAAAATAAACATGCACTGCACAAAAATGTAAAAGTCAGTTAGAAATAAAATTTCATGCTCATAACCATACATGATCAGTGTTCTAAATGGCACGTGCCCAAAATGCAAGTAGTGACTAATATATGTTGCTGCAATACCACGAAAAAAATGACAATTATAGGCACTTCAAATGCTCAAAGAAGAATTAGGGTCGTTGCTTACAAACTGAAAATATTCTTCATTCACAGGTGTTATAGCATGTTCATTTCTAAGAGTCAATCAAATCAACATCTATTAAAGTCCATTGTATACAATTTACTATGCTCTGATGATGGAAAATATGGCATTAAAAAAGTATGGTTTACATGCAAACACAGAATCAAAATATATGTATGAGTGAGTATACTGTATTGAATATAGAAAAAGCATAATCTAGAAGGAGAACACTAGATTCAGAAAAATCAATACCTCCATGACTTAATAGGTTTTTCGGTTTTCTTCTCATTCTGTAAGAATTTATTAGGTGAGAAAAACAGCATAAAAACCTAGAAAGTTTTCATTTTGAAATCTTACATACTCAAAAGGAGACAAGTTGTCTTACAACAGTAGTTTTCGAATTCTTTTTTAGTTTCAAAATGGGTCACCTAACCAAATCTCATAGGAAACCACAATATATAAGTGAGATAAACAAAGAGGTATTTAATTCAAATTTGCTTTATAAGTGTAAGGTTTTAAAACTTATTTGTTAGGCAAATAAATGAAGGGTTTTTTTATAAAGAGAAAAACATGAAATAGGGGATTATGGATGACAGTTACATTCTTCTATGAACCTCGGCGACAGGTTCATTTCTGTATTTTGGAGTATTTTGCCCCATACTAAGAAAATTCTGATTCCTACACACAAGTGGTTACAAACAGTAACTTTTAACATCTCCCTTGCAATCGAAGGGAGCAGAGACAGCCAGAGAAGCTTCCTTCTATAGCCTGAACCAAAATTTAATAACCTATTAACAGAAATTAACTCAACATCATTCATCTCAACTACAATAACATTTCCAATAAAGTATACTCGACAGTGCATATGGGCTTTTAAAAAAAATTACAGTATTTAAATCCAAATCAAACCTTTGAGAAACCCAAAGATCCCTCCACCCCCAGAATGTCCTAGGGTCTAATAGAATCCAATCCCTACTTAAAGCCTGTCTTTAAAAAAAGCCTGCCAGCAAGCACTGAGTTGGTATCAGTACTCAAAACACGGGTCACCAGGGTAGGTATAGCCCACAAACACCTCTTGGCAAACCTAGGATTCGAGTAAAGTGTGCCACCTGCAGACCTGCTGCCCTTTGGTCTCCTTCATTTCCTCCCAATGGTCTTGCTCCTCCCCTCCACTACTGTTTTGACCCAGAGCAATCCAACCGATCATCTCTTTACGCTTCATGGTACGCCTATTATACACAGAAATCACCAACGTAACGTCAGAGAGCTGAAAGAGGGCCACCTGGAAAACAAAGGTCTCCTTATAGACAGGATTGGGCTGACCACGTCGGATGGAGGTCTTGCAGCGGGACATCTCTTGACCCACAGAACTGAGAAGAAAGAGCTTTCCATATGTATCTGAGGAAACAATGGAAATGAGAAAACATCAGTGCCTTCCGTTTTGCTAGGTTAATTGCAATATCTACACATACTGACATACTGAGCAGCATCTTTAGGCCCGGAATTTGCTGTAGGACTAACACATCTTACATGAGCTCTTCAGGAAAGGGATTATTACCTTTATGCTTAATGTTTCATGCAGCCCACCATGGGGCACCTTGCTGACGTTCATTAGAAGCTCTGTATGTGCAAGGGTATGTACATGCACAGGCATGTGTGCAATGGTATTTGTAGACATGCACAGTTCTTCATCCACATTTTATTTATGTAACTATAAATACACATTTTGCTCTATGTGTCTTTCCATTTTCAAAGGGCTGTTTATGCCTAAAGAGTCTCTTCTCTTCTCATTCTCTACATATTCTTTGGACCATATTATCCACTCAGTGACAACTACCAGATCTGTATCTCTGGCCTAGACTTCCCTCCCAAGCTCAAGATCTAACTGAATATCATACTTCTTCTTGTGGAAATCCCATTTCACACTCATCATGTCTCCAACTCTTAAAAACTTGCTGTTTCAGTCTTCTCCAGCCCTGTGAATGGTAGCATCATCTGCTCAAGTACCCAAGTCAGAACTCGGGACAGCATTTTTGACTAGACTGGCTTCCTTACCCCTAGTCCAGTCAATCAACCACCAAGTTCTGTTGATTCTACCTCCTCAATAGCTCCCAAATCCACCCACTTCCTTGCATCCCAATGCCACTGAACTCTCAGTGTACACCATCAGCTCAGGTCACCAGCATTTCCCACTCGCATCACTGCATGTTTCTTCACTGATCTCCACTCACTGGATTGTCAGAGGGGTCTCTGTAAAATGCAGATCTGGTTGTGTCACTCTCCCTAATAAACAAAGACTAAACCTTCAACACATCCCACTAGTCTCAGGATAAAAGCTAAATTTCTCGGTATAGACCACATACCCTGACACTTTTCTCTTCCAGTTTCATTATGCACCACCATTACCTTTATACACTGCATCCCCACTACACTGAATACCTTATCCTTCCAACCCACTCTGCTGTCTTTCCCTTTCACTTCTGCATAAGCTACACATGCCCTGATATCCCGAATGATATCTACCTTCACATGACTTCTATTCATTAGTTTAGTTTGGATGTCATCTTATCCTGGAATCTTTGCTGACCACTTGCCCCCATGCTGACCATCTGTGGGCTCCATCAAAATCTAGTTTTAGCTTCTCTCAGCACTTATTACCCAGTATTTCCATTGCCTGCTTACTTGTCTGCAAAACTGTCAGTTCCCAGATGGGAGAAAGAGAGACTGCCCTGTTTACCACTGTACCCCCGTGCCTGGGGTAATGCCTAACATGTGGTAGACACTCAGTAAATATTAAATGTTTTGTAATGAATGTCTATGACCAGCCAGGAGGCTCAACTTTCTTTTTTCTTTTGGACTTAAGTTTTCAAACTTGCAAAATGGAGCTAAACCCCTCATTTTATAACCCCTGCACTAGAATGCCATGAGATGGTGACTAGCATCATAGGTTTAGTCATTTATAGAAAGTAAGTACTAACATAGTCTATTACTTTTACTAAAATTCCTGAATGGATAATTACAAAGAAAATTATATCCTAAGAAAATTCTATTTTTATTAAAATCATTTATCAATTTCTTGACTTACTCTTAACTACAGATTTTACCACTAATTTATGTGTCCTATCCTTTAAAAAAAATCTACAAGTTCCGGTGTTTCCCGAATTTTATAATTCTGTACATTCTGTACATTCTGCAGGCTAAATGCTGATTAGTGTTTACTGCTCACTTTCCCACCTAACAACCAGTCAAACTTTTTAAAGTGTAAACCCAGAGCTCTGTAATTTACTGTTCTCCACAAGAGCATTGTAAGATAGGAAACAAATTACAACCTGCAGTTTTCTTTCTTTGTTGATCTTTTTCTATTCTGGTTTGATATGTTATTTTATGCAGTTATCTGCTGAGAAACACAAGGTGTGAAATTACACTTCACGTGTGAAAAACACTCCTCTGTCTCAAAAACAGGGCTCTCCAATCTTCAAACTACTCTATGGAAAAAGCTGTCAGAAAACCAACAATGGGGGAGTGAACTTGTGTTTCTGCAGCTGGACAGCTACACAATTCCTGTAGGAAAAGTTCAATCCAGTCACCAAACTGGTCTGGCAATTCTGCTACCAGTTATGGCAGTGAAAATTGAATCAATCTTTCAGACAAAGAACTGCTCATTTCACAAAGAGAGCAATTTCCAGCTTTATCCTGTCAGAAGATCATTTTCTAATTATGAGAAAGGCTACTTACTCCCAAAACACCATCAATGAAGCTGAATTGTACCTGTATGACAAAAGGGGGAAATAATAATTTTATAAACAATCCAGTCTGAGGACACCTGACTAGAAGAAGAGAAATGTTGCTGATCATTCCAGCTCAAAAGAGAACCTTTTATTGGCTGTAATAATGTGCTTAATTCTTAGTGACCCAGGGCTGTGCCCAGAAAATTCTACTTGTGAGGAATAGTGGGGAGTAAGGCTGGGGTCTTTGGGGGTTCAATGACTTAATCTGATGAGCACCAGTCGGAATGGAAGAGAAAGAATCAAGTAAATATGCAACTTAAGTGAGCTCTGTTTTAATTCTTTGGAATTGATAATACTTGCTGCAGAGCACCACCGAGTAGCATTTTTTTTTATTAAAACAGAAAGTCATAAAAATTATAATCATCCTCATCAGTTCACTCAGTCCCATGTAATTTATTTTTCATCTTGATCTTTTGTTAGCACTTTTATGAATTCATCAGTTTTCCATTAGAGTTCTGAAAATGCTTATTGATTCAGTTCACCAGTATAGTCAGTTACCAGAAACCTGTACTTGTCAGAGTTTTTTCCATGAATTCCTTGAAGATGAAACCCTTTTATAGGAACATTTTTGCAAAAGCATCACAGTACACCCAGAACTGTCTGTAAATGACAAAAGACTTAAAAACGACCATGGTTAAAGATTTGATGAAAGTTCATAATAATGCAATTGACAAGGAAATATAGTTATTTCTGAGATATACATTTTAAAGTATTAACTAGAATTATGACTTATAACATTATACCAGAACATATAAGATTTTCAGAAATTTCATGTAATATCTGAAACATTTATATTAACATATTTCAACAAATAACTCAAAGAAAGTTTAGTATTAGTTGTTTTTTGTTTGTTTGTTTTTTTATACTGCAGGTTCTTATTAGTCATCAATTTTATACACATCAGTGTATACATGTCAATCCCAATCACCCAATTCAGCACACCACCATCCCCACCCCACCATGGTTTTCCCCCCTTGGTGTCCATACGTTTGTTCTCTACATCTGTGTCTCAACTTCTGCCCTGCAAACCAGTTCATCTGTACCATTTTTCTACGTTCCACATATATGCGTTAATATACGATATTTGTTTTTCTCTTTCTGACTTACTTCACTCTGTATGACAGTCTCTAATCCATCCATGTCTCAACAAATGACTCAATTTCGTTCCTTTTTATGGTTAATATTTCATTGTATATATGTACCACAACTTCTTTATCCATTCATCTGTCGACGGGCATTTAGGTTGCTTCCATGACCTGGCTATTGTAAATAGTGCTGCAATGAACATTGGGGAGCATGTGTCTTTTTGAACTACGGTTTTCTCCGGGTATACGCCCGGTAGTGGGATTGCTGGATCATATGGTAATTCTATTTTTAGTTTTTTAAGGAACCTCCATACTGTTCTCCATAGTGACTGATTCAATTTACATTCCCACCAACAGTGCAAGAGGGTTCCCTTTTCTCCACACCCTCTCCAGCATTTGTTGTTTATAGATTTTCTGATGAAGCCCATTCTAACTGGTGTGAGGTGATACCTCATTGTAGTTTTGATTTGCATTTCTCTAGTAATTAGTGATGTTGAGCAGCTTCTCATGTGCTTCACGGCTATCTGTATGTCTTCTTTGGAGAAATGTCTATTTGGGTCTTCAGCCAGTCTTCGGATTGGGTTGTTTGTTTTTTTAATATTGAGCTGCATGAGCTATTTATATATTTTGGAGATTAATCCTTTGTCCACTGATTCGTTTGCAAATATTTTCTCCCATTCTGAGGGTTGTCTTTTCGTCTTGTTTATGGTTTCCTTTGCTGTGCAAAAGCTTTGAATTTTCATTAGGTCCCATTTATTTATTTTTATTTCCATTACTCTAGGAGGTGGGTCATAAAAGATCTTCCTGTGATTATGTCAAACAGTGTTCTTCCTATGCTTTCCTCTAAGAGTTTTATAGTGTCCAGTCTTACATTTAGGTCTCTAATCCAGTTTGAGTTTAGTTTTGTGTATGGTGTTAGAGAGTGGTCTAATTTCATTCTTTTACATGTAGCTGCCCAGTTTTCCCAGCACCACTTATTGAAGAGACTGTCTTTTCTCCATTGTATATCTTTGCCTCCTTTGTCATAGATTAGTGGACCACAGGTGTGTGGGTTTATCTCTGGGCTTTCTATCTTGTTCCATTAATCTATGTTTCTGTTTTTGTGCCAGTACCATATTGTTTGATTACTGTAGCTTTGTAGTATAGTCTGAAGTCAGGGAGTCTGATTCCTCCAGCTCCGTTTCTTTCCCTCAAGACTGCTTTGGCTATTCGGGGTCTTTTATGTCTCCATACAAATTTTAAGACTTTTTGTTCTAGTTCCATAAAAACTGCCATTGGTAATTTGATAGGGATTGCATTGAATCTGTAGATTGCTTTGGGTAGTATAGTCATTTTCACAATACTGACTCTTCCAATCCAAGAACATGGTATATCTCTCCATCTGTTGGTATCATCTTTAATTTCTTTCATCAGTGTCTTATAGTTTTCTGCATACAGGTCTCTTGTCTCGCTAGGTAGGTTTATTCCTAGGTATTTTATTCTTTCTGTTGCAATGGTAAATGGGAGTGTTTCCATAATTTCTGTT